GGTTCTGGAAACCATTTGCTCTTTCCCCTTCCGTGTTTAAAGACAAAACTAAATACACTCAACTAAGAGTTTTTGTTAAACCTCGTGTTCTCCAGGATTTACAGCTCTGTGGAAGTGGGCCTGCTAAAGCCCTGGCTGGAGCTGGGTTTTTCTTGAATGTTAAGTTCACTGCTCTGTGCTATAGCAGCAGTGCTCAGAACCCTGGCTAAAACTAGGACTTTTGGAGCTGCTAGGCTCCAAACTGCCACTGGCCCCAAGACAGTCCTTGAAGACCTGACTAGAGGTGGGGCTGTCAGGGCTAGCTAGGCTCCTTGCTCTACAAGAAGCACCAAAGTAGCCTTAAAAGCCCTGGGAGAGTTGGGGCTCTCAGACCTGGCTAGGCTATTCACTCTACAAAATTTCACTGAGAAATTTGGTTTATTCCAAAGACACAAAATGTCTTACAAACCCCAAATCTTGAATTTTGGCCAGCTCTAGGGCAGAGTTCTCTGCCACAGATACAGATGTAGGAAACAGAGCCAGTGGCAGAGGGTGGGCAGTGAGTGAGTGACTGGGAAGCATTGATGGGAAGAGGGACCAAATTGAACCCAACAGATAGTGTGCGATATCAAGCTAAAAGATCTGGCCACACACCTCCCTCTTACCAAATTAAAATGTTGCACAAAGCAGACAAATAACTCATCTAAAATCAGCAACCCGCCTTCTGAGGCTCACAACCCGCCCCCCTCCCTGTATCCTGCCCTATGAGAAAGAGGATGTCTTTCTGTAGAAAATACATTTCATGGCTTAGTAGCCAATACACAGGCCTGAGTTTGCAATGCAATACGTCAGCCAAAACAACCAATGCACAACACAGCACATGAGCAAAATTTCCAAGCAGCTTCTGTTATTTGCCTGCTTCTGATCAGTGGCTTACTGCACCGAGCAGTGTCATTGCAGGGTCATGCAATAATAAGCTAGGATATGGAGGCTAAGAATTGGTGGTTAATGGCATTCACTCTGCTTGGACAAGCTGGGATTTTCTATGATTGCTCGGAATTAGTTATTCATCATCTAAATAAGTATTTGTCATTTTAGCTTCAGCCCTGGCCAAAGGGATGGGGATCTTGTTCTTCTACAGCAGGGGTCGGCAACCTTTCAGAAGCGGTGTGCCGAGTCTTCATTTATTCGCTCCAATTTAAGGTTTCACATGCCGGTAATACATTTTAACGTTTTTAGAAGGTCTCTTTCTCTAAGTCTATAATATAGAACTAAACTATTGTTGTATGTAAAGTAAATAAGGTTTTTAAAATGTTTACGAAGCTTCATTTAAAATTAAATTAAAATGCAGAGCCCCCGAGACCGGTGGCCAGGACCCGGGCAGTGTGAGTGCCACTGAAAATCAGCTTGCGTGCCGCCTTTGGCACGCGTGCCATAGGTTGCCTACCCCTGTTCTACAGTGTCCTTTTTATCATATTTTTCATATATAATTTCAAATGTCAATGACATGTTAATGGTTTTTTTAATGTTGATTTCAATAAGTCTCGGAGCACTGGGGAAGTAAGCTAAGGTTGTGTCAATTGAAGAAGAAAACAAAGGAAATGGGATCACCTGTCAACCTGACATCAGTCTTGGGCAAGATAATGGAGTGGATGATAAGGAAGTCAATTAAAAGAAGATAATATAATTAATGCAAATCAACCTGAGTTTACGGAAAATAGATCCTGCCAAACTAATTTGATAGCTTTTTCTGATCAGATTAAAAGTTTGTCTGACAAAATGTATAGTGCTGATGCAAGATACTTAGACTTCTGAAAGGTGTTTGACTTGGTACCACACAACATTTTGATGAAAAAAACTAGAATGATATAAACTTACCACAGCACACTTTAAATGCTCAGTATGTCTCAGTATGTTTCAACAAGCTCATGTGGGCAGATCTTTATCTATTCCTTATACCTGCTACATATCCCTTTGGTTTGTGTGGTTATCAGAGCTGGGTTCAGTCACAGCCTGACCATACGGTGTTTAGCCTTCCACTCAGTGCTGCCATGGTACCTACACTCTCCCCACTGCTCTGTAACTGCCCTACACCCAGGATACCTTGTCTTGTGACAACACCTTCAGACATGGATAGATCCATCAGCTTCCCTTGCAGAACCTAACATACAGCAAAAATCCTCTAAATATTTCACTGTGTATATGGGACCCCAGCAAGATCTGAGACATTTTCCCAAAACATGGCCACATTGAGGAGAACAGAAGGATTCAGGACAAATTTCTTTAAGATCTGAGGCTGAATTTGCTCCCTGTTATCCTGACTGGTATAAACCCGGAATGATTCCACTGAAGACATCATAATTACACTGGTGTGAAACTGTCATGTGGGAGTAGAGACTAACTTTTAATTAGGGTGACCAGACAGCAAGTGTGAAAAATCAGCACAGGGGTTGGGGGATAATAGGAGCCTATACAAGAAAAAGACCCAAAAATCAGGACTGTCCCTATAAAACCGGGACATCTGGTCACCCTACTTTTAATGAAGAGAGCAAAACAAGTTTACACAAGGGAAATGTTTCAGCTATTTCTGTGGGTCACCTGATCTCCCAAAAACCTTATCCAATCCCATCTTGTGCAACCTTGAGATGTGGGCCTATCCCAGGTGTCTGCCACTGTGCCAAAGGGAAAAGCTTGAGTGTGTGAGGGGAGCAGGGTTTGACCCTTTCAGAGTAAGATTTCACACAATGTTGTTCTAAGTGTCTTGTTGAAATCCCAACAGATTATCTCAATGATGAGCTGCTCATTGTATAATTAATGGAGGATCTTGAAAGGTTATTGAGTCTAGCCCCCTGCTCTCACTAGCAGGACCAAGTACTGATTTTGCCCTAGATCCCCAAGTGGCCCCCTCAAGGATTGAACTCACAACCCTGGGTTTAGCAGGCCAAGGCTCAAACCACTGAGCTATTCCTCCCCCCTGCTCTAGCACAGAGAGCAGTCTGGCAAGGAGTGTTGTCTCCAAACCTACATGGTGCTCCTGTCCATGGTTCCATGATCCCCTGCATCCAGACTATTTTATTTTAGAATATTATGTACCAGAGTAAAATTTAATTCTCATACAGTAATTCCCAGCATCACTCTGTTTTCCATTGTTATAAACCTTAGGCAGGAAGGATGGGTTATAGCTCAGTCACTAGAGGGGGCTGATATAGTCAGGGCTTAGTTCTTAGCTCTCCCACAGATTCTGTGTGTAACCTTGGGAAAGTCCCATGGGACAGAGTCGTAAAGGTATTTAGGCACCTAAACATGCAGCCAGACTCCCAGTGAACTTTTAAAAGTCTGGGCACTTGAGGTGCATGAATAACTTTACAAATCTGGCACCTTTGTCTCTCTGGCCCCCTGCTCCTCAAGTATCAAATAAGATTAATAATATTTCATTTGTCTTGTCTATTCTGATTGTAATCTGATTGGAGTAGGCATAGTATTTTCCTAGGAACATGTGCGGTGCCTAGCAGAATTAGGCTCTGATCTAGTCTGAGTCCTCGAAGCATGACCACAATAATAACCCCTAAAGGTACGGTTTGATCAAAAAGTTAATTGACTACAACAATCTGCATTTTTGGCAGAGCCGTGGGATGTGCCCATAGAACAAGAAAGCTTCTTAGATAATGTACCCAATGTGGTTGGCACAGAGTAGAATTCATGGATGTTGCTCTAAAGTTCTGAAGCCAACAAGAGACACCTGAGAGGTAACCTACAGAAGAAGTCAATTTCAACCTGACATGCCCACAACCTCAGAGCACCCTCTGGCGTCTGATCCCCACCACCCCACTGATCAAACTCTCCTTACACTCTAAGAATAGCCTCAACCACTCCCATTTGCCCAAATCTTCTTAACCTCATCCCCACGTCTCCATAATTTCAAGTGTCCCTAAGTCTACGGCTACACGGGAGGTGGAGATGTAATTTTGGCTAGCCACCTCAAGTAAGCGTCCAGAATTTCAGATGGGATCCGATTCGGGGTGGCTAGCCAGTTCCACCACTAGCGCTGCACCAGCTACATTTCTATTTTTAGTGCGTGACCTGAAGCAGAACTGGTGTCGGTATGTCTACCCAAACTGAAGATGACACCTCAAGCCCCAGTGTAGAGATACCCTTAGAGGATGTGAGAGTTGATAAGCTCTTCACAGTTGGGGAAGGGAGAAGTCAAGGGCTCATCACCCATGATCTATCTACCTTTCCAAAGTGTCTTTCACTGACACTCCTGGCTCTCAACCACTTCACGACAGTAGTATCAGAAAGATGCTCTTTCTAATTGAGCATCATCCTGCTGTCTCACAGTGCAACCTGCTGGACTTTAGTGACACTACAATGAATACAATGATGGAAAGATGACAACCTCTACCTAATTAAGGCTAGGATAAAAAAATTCAAATGTAGATTTCTTCAGATCAGGTGGATTAAAAAAAATCTGCCTGAAATTTCTGATGTGTGGTACAATGGTAAATTGTTGTTTGAGGGAACTATTGGGATAGGATGAGAAATGAATTTGGGGGGATCATGTTCCATTGAAATAATCAAAAACTTTTCCTTTAGCAAATTTCATATCATCCTTTTGTGCACAAAAATGTGCTTGATTCTGATCTAAGTTGTGCCACTTTTATGCCATTGTAACTATGATGGTGGCTTCCGTGGAGTTACCATTGATTTACAGTACCAGGAAGGAGAATCAGGACTTACACCGGAATCCAGATTGGCCTGATTTCCTCTGTGGTCCTCAGTGCGGATGATGAGTTTTGGAACATAGGGAGGGGGTCTAGATGCCATGCAGCTCCACAGTGGGTGTTACACACCGTAGGGTCAGTCTGTGACTGAACCCAGCTCCCCTGACACCACAAACTGAAAGGATTTCTTCAAGTTGTAAAAATTAAAGATCTACCCAGAGGAGCTCACAGAACCCGATAGAGATGTGTGAACCATGGTCTATAAACACCCAGGTGAGGAAATAACATGCAATTGGGAGATTTTTAGGGAATTTTATTTTATTTTAAATTTAAAAAATAAACAAGTTGGAATTCTAAAGGAGATGAATGACAGAAACAGCCCCCTTGCCTCCCACCCATACACACTTCAGCAATATTATCTGAAACCAACTTGCTTTTATTAAAAGGAGAGTAACAAATCTTATATGAGTGATACAATGGATCCCTTCTGGAATTTCTCCAACTCACAAGATTTTTTACAGCCCAAATAAACAGCACGCCAGTGTTCCATTGAAGCAGGATCTGATGATTTTAGAAGCAAGTGGCTGTCTCCCAGATTCCCAGAGATCCTGCCTAGACAATCAGTCAGAAAGTCGCCTGTATGAAGGAAAGAGAATCAGATTTTTGGATGTTTTCCTTTAGAACAGAAATACTATGATGTTTGATTTCCAATCAAAAGGCAGCGAAGGAATTGCCTTGTCACTCTATGGTGAGTGAAGGGATCCCTTGTTAACTCCAGCACAGGGAAGTCATTTTTTCCTACTGCAACAGTCTATTAGAGAGTTTTAAGGGGGATACTCATATGTATCTAAACAACTGAACTGGTTTCCTATAAAAACTACAGTGGAGAGAAGCACAATGCTCATCCAGGCACAGTTATTCTATCAAACACACCTTAGGCACAGCTGATAGATAATTATTTAAGTGATAAATAACTTACTCTTAAAGAAAAAGGGAAATTTCACTTCTATCAATGGTTAACTCTGTTCTGAGGGCAATGCCATACCAGCAGCCTGGCCTGGTAATAGCATGGATATCTGGGCATGCTCAGTGAATCAGCCAGGAGGGTTGCCGAGCAGATGCAAGCCTGGGTACTCCAGCCCAGTTCCCTGGTTCTCACTCTGCAGGCCAAAGGGGCTCCCAGCGTCCCATTGCCTGCCCCCGACCTGCATATTTGGTGTTTTAGTAGGTGGGGAAATCTCTCACCCTCCCAACTGCCTCTCAGGGAGCTATACATTAATAGGACCAGACAGGGCGTCCTGTATAATTTATGACAGATAATGTCTGAAACAAGCAGAGCAGAAATAAAAATGCTTAGAGATTTACAATGTGGCCAGTCTAATTTTAATTGGAACCTTGATGTTTAAACCATTCAAAAAAAAATATGTAGAGTGTTCACATTGACATCACCAAGATTTTTACAACTGCCTCCCTTGGTTAAGGGCTAAGACTCTGTACTGAACTGCTTTATGGATGGAAGGAATCATGAGCCCTTAAATGGTTTTAAATCCTTTGTAGACTGGTGCCGTTTTAATTATACAGAAGAGTGAGCACTCTGATAATATGCCTGTGTCACCCACTGGTCAGCGTGTGTTATGTGTCCCTTTTGTGCCTGATCTACAGCGAATGGGAGTCTCTTACAGCCCCAGCTACACAGCCTGGTCCTTCGATCTGTAGAGACCCAAGAGCTTCCTTCTGGAGCTGTCTGCTTCATTCCCCAATCTGCTGAGCAAGATCGTGCCTAGCACACTGATGTGTTACAGCATCCCCGGTCTGTGAGCTCGCATACACAAGCGACTATATTTTAACGTAGCTCCTCATATGCATTAATATTAGCAGCGTCTGGACCCACACACACTGTAAGGAAGCCCAGTGACATGCTGCACTGTGCTGGTCTGACTACGATTTTAATGAATTTGTTAGTTTCCACTCAAATATTATTCACACTAGGTCCATCTGGATGACCCTTATAATTAATAATTAATGGAGATATCCCATCTCCTAGAACTGGAAGGGACCTTGAAAGGTCATCAAGTCCAGCCCCCGGCCTTCACTAGCAGGACCAAGTACTGATTTTGCCCTAGATCCCCAAGTGGCCCCCTCAAGGATTGAACTCACAACCCTGGGTTTAGCAGGCCAATGCTCAAACCACTGAGCTATCCCTGCCCCCTTGAGGGAGGACTAGGACATGTGTCCAGTTACAATATTCTGACAGTTGTGATTTAACTAGTTTGAAAATACTTTACCTTATTTACTTTTGTACCCTCCTTACACACACACAAACTTACACCCACCCTCAGGTATTAGTAAACTCCAAACTCTTAGGCTTTTCTTTTTTTATTAAGCTGTAGCTTTAGAGTTTGAAAGCTGTATCAATAATGACTCTCAGCAGACAACAGCCATTTTGTTCCCAGAATTTCATAGCTTTTAAGGCCAAAAGGGACCAATAAATCATCTAGTCTGACCTCCTGTAAGACATAGGCCATAGAATTTCCCCAGTTACCCCTATATTGAGCCCAGCAACTTGTATTTCATTATCTTCCACAAAGGCATCCATCCTTGATTTGAAGACACCAAGAGATGGAGAATACGTCATTTCCTTGGTAGCTTCTCCCAATGGTTAATCACCCTCACTGTAAACATGTTTCTGTTATTTCTAACTTGATTTGTCTGGCTTCACTTTCAGCCAGTGGTTCTTGTTCTGCCTTCTCTGCTAGATTAAAAAGTCCTTGAGAATCTGGTATTTTCTCCCTGTAAATATACTTAAACACTTTAATTAAATCCCTGGAGACACCTACATTAGATGATGATTCCTCATTGACAAGTATATTCTATTCTATTCTATTCTATTCTATTCTATTCTATATGTGTGCTTTACTGAGATTGTTAGATGCTAGGTTTTCAGTCAGATTCTTGAGCAGTGCTAAGTCAAACTCTTTGCAATAATATAATTATGTTACATCCTGGCAGTTATATTGATCAACTAACCTTGAAAGTCACCAAAAAAAAAATTAGGTTTCTTTAGCAAGACCTAATAGGCTAAAATCCCTGTTCATTGGCATATTCCTAATCTTTAATTCTTTATTGATGGAGTCATTTTTTCTATTATTTTGCCAGGGATTGATGTCAAGCTCACTGGCCTCTAGTTTCCTGGGCCATCTTGCCTATCTTTTGTGCCTATTGACATAACATTATCACTCTTCCCATCTTCTGGAATTTCCCCCAACATTCCACAATGTGTCAGAAATGATCAGTGGAACAAAGATCTCCTCACCTAACTCTTTGAGGATTCTGTGACAGAAGTTATCTAGGTCTGCTGATTTAAAAATGTTTATCCCTAGTAGATGCTAACATCCTCCTTAGTTACTAATGGACTAGATAGAAGTCACCATCTTCATGCAATATCAGTACATCAACCTGCTGATTTCCAAATACAGAACAGAAATATTTACTGAACACTTCTGCCTTTTCTGCCTCATTATGAACATTTTTTTCAACATCTAGAAATGGGTCTATACCATTGTAAGCATTTCTTTTCTTCCTGAAATTTTAAAACAATGCTTTCTTGTCCTTACACCTGTCAGCTGAGGATTCTTCCCTTTTCATATTGCTGCACTTCATTACTTCCAATTTAGATTGATTGCTATTTCCTCTGTATCCCATTTGTTATAGATAATGTTCTATTTCTAACAGTTGCCTTCACTTCTCCTGCAGACTGCTACAGGGTAGACACAGCCCCCACACTCTCTCCTCCAGACTTTTGTTTTGCCTGCTTGATTTCTATATTCTAAAATACAAAAGCAATGTAGACAATGGTATGTTTGGGCCCCAACGCCTGCCCGTATATGAAGCTATGGCAGAATATTGAGTCTGTAAAAGGGGCTCGGGGGGGGAGGGGGAATTCTCCCAAAGCATGAGCAGCACGAGGCTGCCATAATAGATCTATTCTGTTCCTGTTATAAGCACTGGAGTTGGGGTGGTGCTGGAGACATTGCTGGAGGCTGTCAGGTCTCTGGGGGCAATCCCAGTAGCACTGAGCACGGCAGAAGATCTGGGTTGCTCCTGGCTGTGGAATAGCCCATGTGCAGCCTCAGTTGGGCTGTTCTATGTAGGAGAAGCCACTAGGGTAGTTCTAATACATGCTGGGACCACTCCAGCCCTCAGGGGGCCAAGAATATGAGCAGCTCAAAAGTGGCTTAAAGCCTCCCTTTGGCCCTGCCCTTGGGCCACATGTGCTGAGCCTCCGAGAGCATTAAACAACAGCTCAGATGTAGGAAGGAGGGGAACAGGCATTTCTGTTCACACTGCAATGTCTACCTTGTGCAATGCTGAACTTACCTTTGACAGCAGAAATGATGTCTAGCACACAAGCCGATGATTTTAGAATTGAAGAGACAGCTCCTAAAGTAACAATTACCCCCACGGAGTCTACATTGCAGGTAGGGATTATTAGCCTGGGAGAATGCTGCACACAGAAAAAAAAAGTCAATCATTCTTCAGAGCCAAATAGGCGCTGTGATCCCAAGAGGACAGGCATTTCTTATTCACTTATACCTGACCATATCAGCCCAAAAGTTCAAGTCCAAACATTTATCACAGCCTTAGTGCTATTGAAATGGGTGTAGTGCTGTGACCATTCCGTGGCTGCCACTAAGAAGAGAATGCAGCAAGTTAATTAAACAGGGGCGCTGGCTCTTGGGCTGCAGAGTTGAGAACTGTAGCTCTCAGTACATGGTGTCCTGTGCTGCCCTCTGCCTTTAAGTGATGGAAAGCATTCAGCTGCTCAGACCTCCATGTTCCCTGAGCGGCTGCTGCTTTGGGTTTGATTCCCTCTGTCTCTAGCAGTGATGTGCCAGGCAGTCTCACAAATGCAATTTGGTGAAGTAGGGTAGAACTCGGTTGGATGGCTACACATTTTTGAAATAGAAAAGCTTGAAAAAGACCCTTCCCGTTTCAAATCATGCCTGTCTGTGAGACTCTGTACAGATTTTTTTTCTCTGAAATCTCACTTGGAAATAATGTCTTCATGACTAGTTGCCAGATTTTGGTTACACATGAAGGGCCTGTTATTTTGAAAATGCAACCCCAATGTGCACACCCAAAGCTTGTAGACTAGTTAGGTTAGAACATTTTTAACTGAAGGTTATTGTGCAATCTAAACAGACACATTGTCATGTCTGCAAACACTGTCCCACCTTCAAATAATATAATTTCTTAGAAAGCAGCCAAGTACATAATAGTGAGATTCTTAGAGAGAGTGGGGCTAAGACACTAAGACGTAGGGATGCCGCTTTAAGGGTCTGCGTTCCGTTCCCAGCTGTGTAACCTCTCAGTTGGACATGAGGCCTGACTTTATAATAGAGGTTGTGAAAGGCACAGAATTATGAACACTAGCCAGCTGCAGAAGTTACATTTTAACTCCCAACTCTATGCACTTTGTCTTTCACCAACAGGTGTATTGAACAAAAGTTGGCCACACCTCAATTTCTTTACCAATTTCTTCACTATTCTGATATTCAGTTCTGTGATTGCCTGTTAGAGGAAGAGTACATGCAGTGCAGAGAGAATATAGGGTTGTTTAAGCAGCAAGCCTCAGAAAGATCTGAGGAAAACATTATGGCAATCTTTTTTTCACTGGTCATAATTCAGTCAAATTTTTATGTATTTTCTTGGGGGCAGCAAATACACATTCCTGACATCCAGACAATTCCACTGCCAAATTTCACATATTCTCTGCAAACTTCAGAGGCACTAGAGTGCCTAAGCGAAAAGTCAGAAACACATTTCTAATAGACAGTATTAGACAATCTTAGTATAAATGCCCATCTATCCCTCTGTATCATCTATCATTTTCATTTACCTCTTACCTGGTGCACCCTGGAGCACTAGAAGGAAAACCGCAAACAGCAGATAAAGGATCTTCATTGCTGAAGATCAGCCGGCAACTCAGCGTAACTGGAGAGAAGAGACAGAAAGACAAGGAGGAGGCAAAAAGTCCCTATATTTATAGGACATTGGGGATATGCTGAGCTGTAGAAACAGAAGAAGATTAAAATTTATTGGGGCCCTGGGCACAAAGAACATTTTGGGACCCCCACAGACACTCCCCTCACCACACGGCCCCGCCTCCTGCTCCTCCACTTCCCCCCAAGGTCCCGCCCCCCGGCCAGGCTGGAAGCCAGAGCTGGGCCGTGGTCAGAGCCATCCAAGGAGCCGGGGTCACTGTGGGGAGCCCCAGAACCTCCACCTGCCCTGAGTGGCACATTCTGGGGGACTGGGACATGGGCCAGGGGCTGCTCTTAGGCATCCTGGCCCCCGCCCAGGGCAGGTGGAGGGTCTGGGGCTCCCCAGAGCGGCCTAGAATCCCTGGGTGCCTCTTACTGTGGCCTGGCTCCAGCTTCTGGCCTGGCCAGGGGGTGGGATCCCCAGGAAAGAGGAGAAGCAGGGGATGGGGCCACAGTTCCAGTGGACCCCACACTTCTATACTGGTTCTGGTGCTCCTACGGGGGTCCCCAAATTGGTCAGGGCCCCTGGGCCTGGGCCCCATAGACCTGTGCATTAATCTGCCACTGTGTAGAAATATTATTTTCATCCAAATGGCATTTATAATATGTGTTCTGTATTCTCATAATAATAATAATAATGATTTTATCTATACAGCTGAACAGCTCCTAGGAATATTTCAGAGAAATATGATTGTGTGATGCAAAATATATTTTAAAAAAACAGATTTTGTGTAACTAATTTTAATGTTAATTGAGTGTCTTAAATTGGGTTTCTCATGCTAATCTCTTTTTCCTTAGCCAAAATAAGAATTATTGGAGAATTATTGCACAATTATATATTTTATTAGTCAAGATAGAATTGAAAGCAATTAAGAAATTACAGAAAGTAATAGAAAGGCGGTTGGATATTCATGTTTATGAAGTATCAGAGGGGTAGCCGTGTTAGTCTGGATCTGTAAAAAGCAACAGAGATCCTGTGGCACCTTTAAGACTAACAGATGTATTGGAGCATAAGCTTTCGTGGGTGAATCTAACATCTGTTAGTCTTAAAGGTGCCACAGGACTCTCTGTTGCATGTTTATGAAATGTATAATAATGAATACTAAAAGGTAACAAGTCACATAAATTCATTCAAGGCCTTATCAGAGTTGTGTTACATAGGCAAACTTTACCCTAGTTCTTTACTATGTTGGGCAACTGACTTTGGTACTAACAGGAACTATGAATCCTTTAGTGCAGATTCTTATCCATTTCTAATCAAAAGTGTTCCCCAGTGGAATTACTAAATGTTCAAGGCTAACTCAATATTCAGATAGTGGGAACAATCTTTAGCTTACCAGCCAATTCAAAGCTTCTTCCTCCTTTTGAGAAAGAAGCTGTGAATTTCCCTCAGTGACAAACTCTGTAGGTTTCAGAGGGGTAGCCATGTTAGTCTGTATTCATAGATTCATAGATTATAGGACTGGAAGGGACCTCGAGAGGTCATCGAGTCCAGTCCCCTGCCC